TGTTCCGTTTAAAAAAATATAATTGCTAGGACTTTTTGATAGAAGTGGCAACGCCAAAATGCTGAAAACATTTTATATCGATAGAACAGGTAAGGAAATGTGAGGGATGAAATTTTCAGAAAAATCATGCTTTGCGTTTTCCAGAAACGTCTAACCTGCCATCGACCGTGAGTCAATAACACAGTCTAAGCAGAAAATCTAAAAAATTATTTTTTTTGCAATTCCCACTTTTCAATATTTTATCAAATATCCTAGGAGTCCTAGGACAGTTTTGGTTGCGGAAAAGCAAAGAACGAGAGTTGTCGAAACGTGACAATTTCGTTCGATCGTTCACATCGTATGACACCCACTTTTCGACCTTTCCAATGCGTTTTGAACTGTCAAAAGCTGCATGAGGCTCAAATCCTCGTCCTGGATTAGTGTAGGTCGACCAGTTCGGGGCTCATCTTCGAGGCTAAAATCTCCAGAACGAATCGCTTAACGACATTATACAGGATTAAGCTGAAAAGAGACAAAAAATTGAAATTTGGATAAACAACATCAATGTATAGAGTACATAATTCTCTATCGAGTAGTATATACTAAGACAAAGTAGAATAAATATTTATTGAGATATAGAACTACAAAAACACATGACATTAAATCGGACAAAACTTTTGTAAGAACCTGATATAGTTACACGATAAACGATAGATGAAATATACAGTGCATTTCTTTAATGTCCCCCCTTTTATTTTTTAAACGGGTCGACTTTATTTTGAAGTGAAATTGACAGATGAAACTTTCAAGATGGCGACTGGGCGCTATCTGAGAAAAAAAGTTAAATAGCAAGGGGTGTCTTGTGACACATATTTTTGAAGCTCCTGACATATGCTTCACAACCCTATATAATGTCGAAATATTCAACTACTACAAAATGGCGGAACTTTTAATAATTGCCTGAATATATTGACATTTAATTACATAATATGAGGTAATAAGCTTGAGGTCAGTTCATATTACCAAGTGATCATTTCAAGAGGAAGATTAAACAGTTTAATCTTCCTCTTGAAGATGATCACTTGGTGATCGAAACACGTGTCGAGGTGTTAAAAATAACGATTTGGTGTTGTCTTTTTTTCTGCCATATGGCAATTTCAACAACCCGATCAGATTTGTTAAGTTTTTTTTTTGTTTATAAAACCGACAAAAAATGTCAGTACGACAATGAACATCATTGTTCAGTGAGAATATTCTCATTTAGTTTTCGGTTTTACTAGTAGGAAGGTACTACGTCTACAATCTCTAAAATGGTCAATTATCGTTCATTTTCAAGAAAAAATTGAAGCGATTTTTATTTACGGTGCGACGCCTACTTATTCCGTCGCGAATGTTTGTAAGGTGTCTGCTTTTACTGTGTAGAGACTTTTGAAGAGGAATAGGTATCTGTTTAAAAAAAATCTGTTTTTCCGTTAATCAGCTGTCGCCCCCATACGAACAAAAACTCTCATAAGTTGAGAAACTTGCTAAGAACTAAGCTAAGAACTTGCTAAGAACTAACGAGGTCTTACCTTTTAACGTGTGATTCCTAACATCCATACCATTGCAAGGCATCCTACCTATCTCCACAATATTTGTTTTAGTGACGAATATACATTTTTTTCAAACGGCAATGTTCACAGACAAAATTGCCGTTATTGGAGTGACACCAACCCTCACGTTTTCCGGGAAACACATACCCAATATCCAGAAAAAATTAACGTTTGGGCAGGAATATTGGGAAGCCATATTGTAGGACCTCTATTTTTTGATCAAAATTCAACAGGGGAACTGTATTTGAATATGCTGGAAACTACTCTCATCACTGAAATCGTCGAAGCGAATCCTAATGACTTCGATATGGATATTGTACTCCAACAAGATGGAGCACCACCACATTACTCCAGATAAGTAAGAAACTATTTGGAAACTACTTTTCCGGTCGTTGGATTGGCCGTCGAGGTCCTACAGAATGGCCAGCCCGCTCGTCAGATTTGACACCTTTGGACTTTTTTTCATAGGGCTATTTGAAGCAAAAGCTGTACGAAGTTGAACCTGCTTCAGTATTGGATATACGGCAGAGAATAATGAATATTTGTAGAGATATTGACGTTACTGTGTTCGAAAATGTTCGGCGTAAAATATCGGATAGGCTGTTCATATGTCAAGAAGTTAAAGGCAACTATTTCGAGCATCTTCTGAACTGACCTCAAGCTTATTACCCCATATTATATAGTCAAACGTCAATGTATTCAGGCAATTATTAAAAGTTCCGACATTTTGTAGTACTCAAAGATATTGACATTATATTCTAGGGTTGTGAAGCATTTGACAGGAGCTTCAAAAATATGTGTCACAAGACCCCCCTTTCCATTTATTTTTTTTCCCAAATGGCGCCCAGTCGCCGTCTTGAAAGTTTCATCTGTCAATTTCACTTCAAAATAAAGTATTCATGCATTAATTTTATTGCTCCAAGTTTCAATTTTTTTAATTGGCCCGTTCAAAAAATAAAAGGGGGGGGGGACATTAAAGAAAAGCACTGTATATTTGACTGCTATCGATCACAAATATCGAGAGACATGAAATATTCAACCTAGACTGCGTTTATTTCATCAGGGTAGAAATGCGATAGATTAGATCAAATTATGTTAAAATGAATTAGATTAAATACCAGCACTGCTTCAGATGAGAATAAACCAATTTAGATCGGTTCAATATTGTTAATTTCGTTGGGATTGCTCAAATTAATTAATTTAGATTCGCAGTGATAAAAGAGCCACAGTTTATCGAAACTTTCATTAGAAGGTTCGGGTGCTATTAATTATATAATTATTTTGTTTAAGGGTTTAAATAACGGGGTATTCCTCCATTCGGCCATGGGGAGTTTTGTTTTGCACTCGAGTGTAGGCAATCTGTATTGCAGCTTCTTCATGATGAACATATGGAAATAGCTGTAGTATGTGTNTGATGAGGCTTTGAAAAGAGTCACAGCGGAGAAATGGGAGAAGTGTGTTCGGCATGTGATATCGGAAGTCGAGACAAAGATGTGGAAGCTTGATAACATAATAGAGGCACAAATCGAGCCACTGATAATTCAGATTGGTGAGGATGACACTACTGATGAAGAGAGACAAATTCATCCAGTTGAATAATTTCGATTAATATTCCTTTTGATTTTACATAAAATAAAAATTGTCAATAAAGAAATACTTACGTCTCTTTTCATATAATGAATTTTAATAAATTCGAAACGTTGGCAAGAAAATTATTGTTCTTGGAAAAAAAAAATTATGAATAACTGAACCAGTTAATTGATTATTTTCATCATCAATTGGCATTCAAAGCTCCCAATAATCATCTGACAAATACTTTTAGATTGTGATTTCAATGTACTGAAAAAAATAAATAAATTCTGGGTTACTGAATATAAACCGCCATATTCGTGGTATTATAATTACGAGTACTTACGACTGAATTGAATCCCTTAAGGGCTGGGAGTCAACAAAGGAGATGACGTCGAACAAGCAAGTTGACAAAGTTCAACAGAACTTTAAACTTTGTGTTTTCATTGGAGAGTTCCTAAATTAGATTCTATGTGAAATGGCAAACTTTGATGTCCCAGCATAATCGTGACTCGAAGTTTTTCTTGTCCTTTTGTAGTGCATACACATATTCAAATTCAAGTCTATGAATGGGGAGGAATTCGTAGGCGGCGGATATACTCGTAGAGGGCAACTTGAATTGTTGTTTTTTTGTCCGTTTCAATGTCATGTGTTTTTGTAACTCCATATTTCATTTATTTCATTTATGCTGTTTTCTAGCTTTACCTATATGTATGTATGTTTATTTATTTGTTTGTAACTCTCAAGCTCGGGATTTGTATTTGACAGAATTATCGACATTATTGCTTGATGTATTCGCGGGCAGATGGCGCTGTATGTAACCTCCTTGATATAATTCGAACTCATTTTACATGTATTTCTTCATTTGAAAAAAGTATTTCGGAATCGGAAAATAAATATTAATGGTCATTTTTCTAAACAATATACGGCTGATTGATCCCAAAGTTTCTTAAATTATATTTATTCATTTGAGAATCTAAAAATGTAGATACATATAAATCGATAAAAAAAAAATGTATTCAAAACACATTTCATGTTCGTTAGGAAGGGACACCTATTACATCATCTGAAATAGACTACATTCGACATATAATTCGATAAAAAAAAATGTATTCAAAACACATTTTATGTTCGTTATGAAGGAACACTTCTTACATCATCCATGAACTCTGAAATAGACCACGCTTGTGTAACGTATGCTTTGGATCTCCACAAAAGTCTAAGGACGTCATATCAGGTGATCTAGCGGGTCGATGTAAGGTAATACGTTTGCAGATCCACCTGTCTGGATAATTGTCATCTTGCCATTTTTTAACTATCCTGCTGTAAGGAGGAGGTACCTCATCATGATGAAACGTAACATCAGTTGAACACTTATGATTCGTCAATTATCCAAACCAGTAGATAGATACACGTAGCTACTATATCACCTGAAGTGATGCTTGTATATGTTTTGAGGGTATACGTGACATCTGAAGTAAACGATTTACTACTCTGGTTTGACTGTCCTTGTTCATTTTTCACTGCCTGAACCACTGTGCATGCTGTTTTTGGCTTGGGATGTGGGGGTTGAGCAAACCCCCACATCCGAATAAGAATAAGAATGGTGCTTAAGTAACACAGTATCGAACTTAATTGTTGTCTCGGTGGTATGCAAATTTTGGATTGTAGCCAGTGTCATTTCACAACCACACTAAAAGTTTTTTTTTACAGTAGAATGGATCACATGGACCACTCTGAACATTCGCTGCACCAGCACGGCGACATGACACCAAAACCGATGGACCACAGTGGTCACATGGGACACGATATGACTGATATGGGTTCAATGATGATGCCCATGTATGTAAGTATACCACTCAGAAAATATTTTTTGTTGTTGGTTTGAATCGAGGAGAAAAAGGAGAGTTCATCAGAATCAGACTATGATTTATTCTCATAAGAATCAATTTCTTGTTGACAAAGTCTCTACTTGAAAATAAAATATGACATTATAAATTGTAAATACAATAGCGAGTATAAAATTGTTGCAAAAGAAGAAGAAAAACTTTATTTAGAAATAGGAACCCCTAATATACAAACAAATAACNAATTGTACATACAATAGTCAGTCTTACAATTATGAGATATCACGAATTATAAAAGTCTTCAACATTATAAAATACTTTTTCAAGAAGAAAGTTTTTCAATTTATTTTTGAATAGAATGTCATTCAGATTCACATCTATCAAATCTCTTATTTTATTGAAACACTTGATACCAATATGCTTTGGTGAATTTTCACAGACTGATAACCTTGAATAGGGTTGTCGAAGTTTTTCTTTATTCCTAGTATTATACATATGAGTGTCTTCATTCCTCATTAGTTCATTTTGGTTACGTTTTATGTACACAATCAGTTCAAGAATATATTTTAAGACTATTTCTTCAAAAGGGGGGATCAATGTAAAATTAATTTTTTGACTAAAGGTTCCTGTATGTGAGGTTATATAATGCATGGTTGGTGTTTCAGTTCTTCTTCTCCACCAAGGCCACCGTGCTATTTGAAGGCTGGAAATTCACTTCCACAGGCGGACTCATCGGGTCCATGATAGGAATTTTTTTTATGGCAGCTTTATACGAAGGACTGAAATACTTTAGGTAAGCAGGTTTACATCTCCGATGTTGGATGCCGAATCTTGAATGTATGAGTGTAACGAAATTTTTATTTATTTTAAGAACAAATAGTTGAAATAGTCGCTGGATAGCTTTCAAGAAATTATCTTTACAGGGAATATCTCTTTTGGAGAACATACAACTCATTACAGTATCGAGCCGTGACCCTTCCCGACAAAGCAACCACGACGGAAGAACCACAAGTCGTTCAGTGAGTAGAATTTTGTATGTTTTTCTGGTAAAAAAAGGAACATCATCGATATATAATTTTGGAAATTTGCAAATGAAACAGAGATAGTTCTGAAACATCGAAAGGTATTAATATTTTTCATTTCAATATTAACTATTGGATTTATTGAAATAGGTAATAGTGATAAAACATGTTTTTAAGGCGTTTTGTTCATGAACTAAAACAATAGACAATGGAAACAATATCCGGCGTGGTATTAGCCAGGGAAGTAGTTGAACCTACTGTGTAGGGAATTGGGAGAGATGAATATTTTGAGATTTTATTTCGGAATATTTATTTTCCTAAAATCAAATGAATTCGCCAACTATTTTGTGTTTTTGGTTCTACCAACACAAATGAAAAATTTAAAACAGTAGCTGAAAATCGCAATTATATTAAGCAAAAAAAATGAAAATTACAGTGGAAAAAAATACAAGTAACTAAATACAATGGAACAATTAAACAAAAAGTAGAAATTAAACAAAAAATTAAAACTGTATTTTCTTACTTGTATTTTATTTCATTGTAATTTCATTTCAGGTTTTTTTTTGCTTAATATAATTGTTATTTTCAGCTATTGTTTTTAATTTTTCATTTGTATTGGTTCTTTTAGGGATTTCAGATAATTTTATATATTAGACCATGGAAGTGCGAAATAGTGAAATTCATCATGAAACATTGTCAATAACCTTCAAACAAATTGCAAAAATATATTTAATTAAATATATTGGAACCAGATTTGTCAATATTTTGTAGATAAAAGTGATGGTCATATAGAAAAAAGCATTTGAAAGTTTTTGTAATTATGACTTTTGATTAAACAAAAAATGACGGCATTGACGAGCAGTATTCAAATCAGATTGAATAACAGATCAGAAAACTGGTCTCTCTTGCAATTCCCGAAAAAATATCTTATTTTTCACAAATTTTCGAAAACATCTATTGTCCATTGTTCATTCAATTGTAACAGATTTTCAATTTGAAACCCAAGGGAGTGAGTGCTACTCGTGATGCTTGGTCCGATCCCAACTAGGGGATGATCCATATTTACTGCATATTGTTCGATCTGTGCTAAGAATCGCACGGTAAAAAGTAAGATCTCTTCAATCCTGAGCTCGCTTAAGTTCGGGCTCCAATGAGTATCGTGGTAGGGGGGTGACAGTTGCTTAATGCAATCTCATAGAAGCTCAATTTAGCTAAAGTTTCATACTTTCCACCAGAGCAATATAAAACATGGACGTAAAAAAATGGACCCAGTTATTTACCTCAGTAGGTGAAGTCTGCATTTGGGAACATCTTCAGTCTTTGTATTTTTTTCTGATAAAATTATTATTTTCTGTAATTAATATTGGAACTTGAAATAACCTTAATATTAAATATATATTTAATGAAAATATCACAAGTATTTCAAAAGTTTTCATGAATATATTAAATTTAACATATTTTTGTTTTCACCATCACCCAATTAGTAAATTGTGTGCGCCACTGTCGGCGGAGGGTAAGTCACAGTCTATCACAGTTTCCTCTTTCACCGTGAGTAGCGCGTCGACGAATTTAGCGACTTCAACATAATCTGTGTCGTAGATATTGGTTTTCCAAGTCCATTTATTTTTTTACGTCCACGGGATGAAAAGACACAAGATCTTGCACATAATCTAGATCAGAAGACACCTGAAGCTGATATCTGCAAAATCTTTTAAGAAATGGAAGCAGGCCACTTCATAATAAATTAAATGAAAGCTAAGTGTCTTTTGTAATGTATAAAATGCTATTGTGGTATTTCCAAAAGTTATTTTTGTTTATAGATGTAAACGATGATGTTCCAGTTACCCATTGTTGTTGTTTTTCATGTTTAGTTCTTCATAGACTACTGACTATCTTGATGAATAACATTCGTTGTTATCAATACACTGAAACTGTTTACTCACCGGTGCTGAATACTCATATTCATGGTCATCATTAATATTGTTGATTTGAATCACAGTATCACTAACAGTCTTGATAATTCTTAATCCTTGGATTATTATCGTCTACATTTTTTTCGAACACATAATTATCATGTTTGGTACTCTTTACTAATCAGATAATACTTTAAGTGTTCTTGGTAACAACGCCTTGACCATGCCTTATCTATAAAATAACAAAATTTTATTGCCTAAAGTATTTTATTAGATAAACAGTCACTTGAAGCGGCTGTGCTAGATTTCATCATAAATGCAAGAGAATATCATATGATTCAACTGAACACATATCTATTCGTAACGACTGATATCTCACTGTTTACGATGCAAATGTGTTGCAAAACACCTCATTTTTACTTGTTTTGTAAGTGTTCTCACAAGGTTTCTAGATTGGGTTGATTGATGGATCTTCGGGGGAATAACTTGGAAGAGGTCATGGATATGATCCTGCTGCTTATAAATCACAAATAACCTATAGTCGCACAACTGCCATAAAAAAGCGATTCCAAGAAATTTTCTCTGGATTATTCCAATGAACTGTTGTTTTGAGATTACGAGGATTATATGATTGATTTATCACCATATCAGACTTCACCATGTATGACCTAGAAAAAGTATTCAAACCTATCTTCCAAATTCACCTCGTTTAGTTCCTCCTCATGCAATCTCGTCAAATACCCCTTCAACTCAATTTACAAAAGATAGGTCTCATTAGAAACTGGATCCATTTAAAGATGGCTTTGGCATGTTTTCGTAGGGAGGCGTCCTCTTATTGAAAGACATTATGGATGAATCTGTTGGGTGTGTATCTGGAAGTGTTTATGGCCATCCGTATCAGAACTGACCCCCAAGCAGAAGATGCCTACAGGATGATGGAGAGTAGAATGGTCTTCATGGAGCCCACCATTCTAATCTGTTGACTTGATGCTGCGTGGCTGGTGGATCTGGCCAGGGGAGCTGTGTCGTTGACAGCCTTGAAGCGTGTTCTAGCTTGAGCACCACACCTGCTGTTTGTATCGAAAGAACTGAGCCTTGAGGGATTTCTGCTTCTGATGGACAGTTACTATCATTCTTCGCATTATCATCGTCTATCTGCTACAAAATAATCCATTATTGTTACTTAACATTATCCTTTTATATCCAAAATCTGACATTTTAGCCAGAAGACTGTCTTACCAGATGCTGTCCAAGCGCTTGGAAATGTCGAGCGATATTGCTCCTGTGTGGAGTTATTTTGTTCAGGTTGAAGCCTGCGATGGCTCATTCAACCCCTCTCAGGACTGGTAGCTCCTTTTAGTGCTCGTATCTAAATCCGAACTGTTTGATGGGTAAGAGTTCAGTTCCTCGGTCTGATCCTCAAGTTTTTCAAGATGGGGCGGCACTTGACCACTTTGCTCATGAATGGAGTAGAGGTAATTGGCCGGTGGTTTTTTGGAAACGTGAGTTTTTTGTTGAATTTGGGCTTACTCGTATGATCATGGTGTAAATTCAATGAGGGAACAAGTGAAACTCGCAAAAGGATAAATCTCTGAGTTTTTTTGGAATTCTATATGATTAGTTTCAGTCTTTATGGTGTTTTTATTGAAAACATTTCACGTCACAGATTCTACCTTTCAGTTTTGTTGAACTGATTCTAGAAGATAAGAGCACTTGTTTGGGAGTACACGTAACAAATATTGTATTTGTTATTCAGCACGCTTCCCTGATGAGACAGTTACATGATGAAACTTGTTTAATGATAATCCTAAAATTTGCAAAATATAGTACCTATAACTCAATTTTTTTTCAATGAAATAGCCACTCAACTGTAATAATCATATTACAACTGTAATAATAATATGTTTGAAAATGACAAATGTATTTTCAATCTTCTTTTCAAACACATTACAACTATCACGATAAATGTAGTCAATGTTAAAACCTTTTTTTATTCATTTCATCGCAGAATGGTGAGGGAGGTCATTCATAAAAAACCGTAAGTTTTCATATAACCTCAATTTTTTCATTAACAGCACCCAAGCTTTATCGAGCAAACAAGAACTTGGAAGTAATGAAAGATTTCATTGAAATGTCTGTTTTAAAAATTATCTGTTTGTGCAATCTTTGGTGTCCTAACAACTAGAATTTCAGAACGTGGGAAAAGTGTGTTGTTACTTACCTATTAATTTAATAGAAAATAATTTTTGTTTGCTTGAAACCTGCACGTTTGAGAAGTATTGTGTTCAGAATCATTGGAGTTTCATTCATGGAAATTTGCAGCCATCTCATTTCTGTTACTTGTATTACATAGAAGTTGCATTGTCATAATCGAAAAAAATCTAGTTGAGAATCTGAGAAAGCAGTTCTACTGAATGGAGCTCTATATACTTTATACCGTTCTCACTAATCACCTAATTAATTTTAAAACTAAACCCTCAGTGTTGTAGATAATAAAAGTAATTAGGACATTCAACAAATCAAAGTCAATACTAGAGTTCCTTTTTTATTTGGTAGTGGGATTGTTTTTAAAGAAACCTATCTTTATTGTCAAGTAATCTAAAGGAACAATTCTTCCCTTACCTAAACACTAGGTTTACGGACTAACACCTATCAGAAAACAACTACTCCCCTGGCTAATACCACGAAGGGCGTTGGATTATATCCGACAGGTGTTAGTGCTGGATTTTTCACAGAAGAAATTTCTGCATATGCTTTCGGAGCTACAACTGCCGGAATCGATTTTCAATTATTGGAACGGGCACGCTTGCAGACCAGTTTTGGGCTATTTGGCCTCTCTTCAGTGCAAGGTGGTGTCAGTCATCAACACTGACACTTGTCGGATATAATCCAACGCCCTTCGTGGTATTAGCCAGGGGAGTAATTGTTTTTTGATAGGTGTCAGTCCATGAATTATGTAAGGGAAGACAGGCCTGAACGAATTGTTCCTTTAGACTTTAGATTATTTGATTTACAGCTACTTATATTAGAAGTTAGATTTTATTAGGTTGGTAGTATAGAATTATGTTGCTTTCTGAAAGTTTTAGACCCAAATTGTGTTCAGCACGAAATGTCTGCGACATGAAAGACTCAATCTTATAACAGAGGCAGTTCTTTTACCAGTTTTATACTCACAACCGGTTTTGTTTTGGGAGAGAACTATTGAAGTAAAAATATTTAAAGTCACAATATTATTTAACTCTCAGTTAAAAGTTTTTCAGGAGTTTTCTGTTCCAGCAAACCACAAAAGTATTCGAACAGGGAAAACAAAAATATATTTGTTGACTCTTTGAAGTGTGTTATCAAGAAATGAATCATGGGCTACATATTCAGGTGTTACGATTGTAAATATTCACACCTGTTTTGGTTTAACACGTAATTGGTTGTTGTCGTTAAAAAAATGTTATGTTTATAGACATTAAAATGGGCTGATTGTTCTCACATATGAACAGTTTCGAAAAGGATAGAGTGGATTGAGTGTTTGAAAGTTCAGAAGAAACAAAAACTTTCTAAAAAGATGCATAGATCATGTACATAATTTTTTTTTCCGTATACAAACTGGACGAGGAAGTCCATCCGAAATAACTACTTTCAAACGTGAACTTTGAATTACACGGAAATCACATTTTCTCATTCAGTTTGTGCTCCAAACTGATATAATTATCTTACATGGAAACGTTTCACAATGTTATATATGGCGGAGTATTGATATAAAAATTCACTCAGAAGAAAAACTTTCCATCTCCTGATTTCTAGAAGTTTCAGGTGAAAATTTTAATCTTGAACTCCTTCCACTCGAAACCTTTATAAGTTCACCTGGAGATAGTAGTATTAATTGGCCATATTTACATACAGAGTACAATTGGCAGATCAAAAAAGTCGCGGATAATCATGAGAATATAAAAATTTCACGTAACATAGAATAGAAGCTATTGTTCAGGAAGTATTTTTTGTTGCATTTTTAAAGCTGTTATAGCTATTGATATCCTTTATATATTTTGGAAAGTTGTTATTACAGTCCTACATGACTCCCTGTATTCCAAATTAAATAATAGTCTAATTATTCTTTTTTGAGAAGTGAAAACTCTGTTACATTCAGTAGCCAGTCCCCATGTTGCAATATTATTTTATATGTGGCTATATGCAAACGCATAGTATAAATTCAACAATTCCTTTAGCTCCAAAATTGGTTTCATCTGAAGAATTGCATAGTATGCTTTATCGAGTTGTTTACAAACAAAGTCAAAGATCGGGGTTGAGTATACATTGAAAACTCAATTTCGGTCAGACCGCTACTTATTGCAGAAGACTCAACTTTCACTGATATTTGTAAATTTAAATTTCTAGCATTGTTGCCATTGAAATGAAAGAATTTGGTTTGATTAATTTCCAATAAAAAATATGCCACCTGGGCAAAGAGGTTGTTTCTAAACTTTTGTCCGTTGTTATGAGTACTTTAAACTGTTACATCTCCGTGAATACTCATTGCGCCATTAAAATAAATTCAGAAGCACTTTGTTGCTAGGTGGAGGGAGTCTGTGTCTAAAAAGTGGATTTTATATTGAAATATTTTTTCCCGAACTGTTAATCGGTATATTTTTCCTTAAAGATGAGTGAATTCTTATGAAACCCTTTTTTTTCAGACCAACAATGATCAGTAAAATGCACTTTCTTCAAACGTTTCTCCACATGGTGCAGATGGTCTTGTCGTACTTCCTCATGTTGATTTTCATGACGTACAACACCTATCTGTGCATAGCAATCGTTTTGGGAGCAGGAACGGGATACTTTTTGTTTGGCTGGAAAAAATCTGTTGTGGTAGACGTTACGGAACATTGTCACTGACATAAGTCCGCGAAAGTGGTCAAGTACATAGTTAACCTTAGAGTATTAAGATAAACTTGTAATATAAGATTTTTAAACAGTGCTTCTGTACTCTGAAACAAAGTTTCGCCTGCTACTTGGGAAAACCATGATCCTGAAAACACCACCTCTCTGGAGTGAACATTTGGATTTGGGACCACGATTGAATCAGTATCAGAAAAATGTGTATTCTAGCATTTTGTGAAAACCATTTCACCAAATAGTTTTCTGTTATTTTTCAATTTTTTATTTCTATGAGAAATCTTTGAGAAAACGCGATGAAAAGGTCGTTGGTCCTCCCAAGTAGAAAATATTAGAGTTTTATAAGTTACTTATTGAAAATTTTCATGGAAGACGTCTGTACAACAATGTGACATATTTTTTGATCAAGAGGAATTAACCTTGATTCAGAATTACTGAAAACTGTTTCAATAGGATGACTGTACTACTGAAAAAATCAATGTATTCGAAACAAACAAGCCTGTACTTGCCATCAAAAATCGGTTGTGCATTCAAACAACGTATCACTAGATAGTTCGTACTGAAACCCCTGGCGTGGGACGAATCTATTGAAAACACCTCCGACACCAGAACAAAATGCAGTTTCTCGACGCGCGTTTCGCTAACCAAGTTAGCGTCCTCAGGAGATGTTAGTGTCTTTATATGCTGGTAGCCTAACTATTACCTGTTATTGTTCCTATGCTAAACTACCTGTTTTTAATACCTCAAATTTGTTATGTATTTCCTCTATGTTAGAGACTATCCCCTACATTTTTTCTCTAATATTTTTTTTATTTAGAATTCTTACGTATAAGAGCAAACAAAGGGGTGTTCAAAATAGGACCTTTGTCGCTATTCATAGAATTTATTCCACACTCGAGTTTTATACATAGGAATTCTAAATAAAAAACAGATGAATATTAAAGAAAAATGTAGGGGATAGTCTCTAACATAGAGAAAATACATAACAAATTTGAGGTATTAAAAACAGGTAGTTTAGCATAGGAACAATAACAGGTAGTAGTTAGTCCACTAGCATATAAAAACAACATAATAGCAAAATTCAGCCATAATTATCTCCTGAGGATGTTAACTTGGTTAGCGAAACACACGTAGAGAGACCGTATTTTGTTCTGGTGTTAGGAAAGTTTTCAATAGAACGTATAACTAGCCTAGTTAATTCAAAGAATCTTCCATCACCCTAAATAAACTCATTTCAAATCTAATTTATTCTATGATGAGACTGATGATTTTAAAATTTTTCAACTAAAAGCACATCATTTACTCATTTAATCAAGTATATCAAAAAACGTTGTCACTAAGTCTTCTATAATGTTCCTACTTTCTTGTGAGGCAAGCAAGTTTTAATTCAAAAGTATTATTCAGAAATTATTTGTTTTTCCAAGGGCTCATTCATATTAGAGTTACATATTTATCAGCCATTCTGTATGTAACTTTTTAGGCTGCGTCTTAGACTAAGTGAGAGATTATTTTATTATATCGAAAACACTTTATAAATGTTGAATTTTTTATTAGTTATTAAATATTTTTACTGGAAGTGAACCCATCTTGGTCTTGAATTGTCTGAAAACTATTAGAAGTGATTGTGAATGCGATTTGATATTTTTGAAAAACTGAAGGGTACTGTTAATATATTTTTATTGCTCAAGTTTTGTTGTTTGCTTACATTTTTCTGATTTTCGTTTCAATAATGTAGAATTACATTAAAATGGGGTGAACCAATAACTGAAGTTTATTAGAAGAGGTATTTTCTACTATAAAAAAAATGGATCGTAGAATTTGCATCAAATTTTGTGTAAAAAAATGGAATAAGGTGCTCAAAAACACCTGAAATGTTGACAGTGGCAAACGGTGATTGTACTCTGAGTCAGAAAAATATTTGCAGGTGGTACAAGCGTTTCACAGAAGGTCGGGAAGATGTGAATGACGATATTCGCCCTGGACGCCTCAGCACATCAATAGCAGATGAAAATGTTGAGAAAGTAAAAAAAATCGTCGAATCACTGTTACAGAAGTTGCTGAGAATGTTCACATATCGGTTGTCTCATGCCAAACTATATTTTTGGAAATTTTACAAGTCGTGCTTTGTTTTTCATAAAACCAGACGTTTCCTTCGTATTGCTTCTTGCAAGGCTTGTTCATAATTTTTGGCAAAAAATAACACCATAATCATGCCGCAGTCACCGTATTCACCAGATTTGGCCCCCTGCGACTTTTCCTTGTTCCAAAGATTGAAGATACCCATGAAAGGACGGCGTTTTGTGGCAATTGAGGAGATAGAAACCGAATTGCTGAGATAGCTTGAAGACTTGTGATATACTGTTTGGAACCTTTGGTGTAGTAATGAATATTACTGGAGTTTTTTCCCAACACCAAATCGTTATTTTTACACCT